TGGCCAGTTCTCGCCAAGCCGCGCCGGAAAAGGACTGACACTGATCAGCCAGCGTCTCATCAAAGCCCGGCCGCGACTGGGAGCAAGAGACGAAGCCAATGGAAACTAAACTCACGTCGACCAATCTGCAAAACTCGGCACAAAACCAGGGTTTCAGGAAGCTCCCCTTCAAACCAGGGTCTGGTTGCCCAAACAAAAAATACTCAAACCTTGCCCTTGAAGGAAACAACTTGGGCGTCCTTCGGCTTGCCCAGGACGCGCTGACCCCTAACGGTCCCCCCAATAGTCGGACTACGGTCCAATTGCCAAGGCTCTGCATCAGTGTATGACATACAGGTCTGTCTCAAAATCAGACGACCCCTTATGATGTTCAAAACAAGCATCACACACTGCCTGCACATCATGTCTATTGTCACGGGCGCGGTGCATGTTTGTAAGACACACGTGGGGCAACAGATCTTTCCAATCACACCACTAGTTCTCAGTGGGAACTCCTCAGCAACACCCGCAAGCATCATCAGTGATCATCAGGAAAAGCTTGGTTGCATCGGCAGCATCTCCACTAATCAGACACACTCCCTGAGCCGCCTTTCTACATCTGTATTCGGGCAAGAATGTGAAACAACGGGGTCAAACGAAAGGCCGTCCTGTGGGGGCGGTTCACGCAAATAAGCTCAGGCGATATCCCCAACAGCACCACGCCCTCCCAGAATCCTCACGCACTCGGGGCCCGATCGGGGCCCGATCGGGGCTCGATCGGGGCCCGGCGGTGTAATCGGGGCCCGATGGTCCTGTGGTGCAACCCCAGCCATATTATAGCAAAACTATAGGCGACGCCAGCTTGGTACAGTTGACGGGCCCGACTGAGTCGGGCCTGCGACGGCGCAATCGGGGCCGATCAGGCCCCGACGGTGCAATCGGGCGAACCTCGCAAACTGTCCTCGTAGAACCCTCGTAGAACTCAGCGTGACACTTTGCTGGAACCTTTCCTCAGGAACCTGGCGGAAACCTCGTGGAGCGTTCTTGGAACCCAAAGCCCACCAAGTAATACTCAGCAATGCCAAGCATTTACTCTGCTGCACCGTGAGTCCCGCAGCAACGTGATCTGATTTGCCACAAAGCCAACATCTCGGGTCGCGTTGCCTGGGCAAGTGAGCAAGTGACAAAACAGTGAACGTGTGCTAAAATCCATTGACTTCGGTTTTGCTTAGTGTTCCGCCCATGAGCCAAGCGATCTTGAGCCCCAAAAAATCCGATGGCTTTTCAGACGGCGGGCGCACGACACACTGCTTCCCTCCAGGGCAAACCATGGAACCTTGCAGAACATTTCTGGAACCCTTGTGGACCCTTGTGGAACCTTTTTAAGCCTTGTGGAACTTGTGGAATCCTTGCATGAACCATCCTACAGCCCTCGCAGATCGTGGAACCCTGCCTTACCTCAAAAGACGGACCACTCTTGTGGAACCTTCCTCAAACCACCCCGCAGCCCTCGAAGAAATTGGTGAAACCCTGGTCAAACTCGTGGAACCCTCGTCTCATCCCGCACCACCCGAAGAAATTTGTGGAACCCTGGAGGAACCCTGTTGGAACCCTGGAACCCTGCTAAAAACCCTTGTGGAACCTTCCTCAAGCCACCCCAGACCACCCCGCAGCCCTCAAAGAAATTGGTGGAACCCTGGTGGAACTCGTGGAACCCTCGTGGAAGCCTCGTGGAACCTTACCTCAGACCACCCCAGACCACCCCGCAGCCCTTGAAGAAATTGGTGGAACCCTGGTGGAACCCTGATGGAACCCTGGTGGAACCCCGGTGGAACCCTGGTGGAACCCTGGTGGAACCCTGGTGGAACCTTGGTGGAACTCGTGGAACCCTCGTGGAACCCTCGTGGAACCTTACCTCAAACCACCCCGGACAACCCCGCAGCCCTTGCGCACGACACACTGCTTCCCTCCAGGGCAATCCACGGAACCTTGAAAGCTAGTGGAACCCTGGTGGAAGCCTGGTGGAACCCTGGTGGAACCCTGGTGGAACCCTCGTGGAACCTTACCTCAAGGCCGCCCCGGACCACCCCGGAGCCTATCTGGGCTGAGACCCCAAAGTTTCCAGCTGTTGGGGAAAAAAAAAAAAAACAGCTCGGAGCTTGATTGCACCAGCGGCATCCTCACTCGTCACGCAGCCTTTCAGCCTCCAGCTGCCTTTCAATTATGATGCGCTCGAGTAAGACCCATGTAATCCCAGTCCGTGGCCAAAAGCCAGGAGGAGCTTGGTTGCTTCCGCAGCCGCGCCTGATTGCCTGTCTACTCCCGTGTGGAATAAACAGGGTCGAACCAAAGTCCGCAGCTTGCAAGAAGGAAAGGCAAAAATGTGGAAAAAACCGTTGGCAAATCAAGCTAGGAGCTTGCTGGTGCCAGCATCCACGCTCACCTCTCCGAGGGACTCCAAGTCGCAGAGCGAAAATCTTAAGAACCCCTGCGGCTGTCAGCTTTCTGGGGAGAAAGGCAGGCACGAGCCAGCATTGCATCGACAGATTCCTGCTCACACCCAGTGTGAGAATTAGCCAGCGCCGGTGATAGCCTCAGCCAAAGGCCACCCGGCCAAACGTCATCAGCATCCCGGCCCGCCGCAAAAGCGGTCTGGTCGGCATCGAGGTTGTAGGGTGCAGCCAGCCGGGTCGCGGCCAAAACACACCAAAGAACCTCGAAATCGCATTTTGGGGAGGAGTCTAAGCTGGCGATGCAAGTGATCTGGTGTTGAAAACGCTGGCTCAGCATGATTTATAACTTGGCGCTTTCCAGGGCATGCACAGCTTTCTAGATTTCTTTGGTGCAGCCTGAAAAGCAAGCCCTCGGTTGCAGCATGGAGAATCTCAGCCGCAAGCCCACCCATCACCAGACAAACACATACTGTTAACCCCGGAAAAATACAGTAAACCCCTGGTTGATTCATAGGGGGGTGTCCCCTTTTAGTGGGGGGTTCCTCACTGGAGGGACCACCCCCTAATGGGACGGGTTGATTAATCCTGGGTCAACAATAGGCCGAAAGAAAAAGAGGCCAGGTCTGCGAGCCAGGCGGGTTGTTTTAGTCGGGGCTTTTGGCCCTATCCACGAAAGCCTGGGGTGGCAGCCAGCGACGGCGACGGCGTTTTGGGTGAAGTTGGTCGCATCTTGGCTTGCAGCAGGAAACCAGCCCTAGTTTGTACAGTGCGGATTAGTCAACGTTGTTCAAATGGGTCCATTCAGGTGGCATCCTCGAACTTAACTACCCTCAAAATGGTTTGAAGAGAAACCATCCTGAAAAGTAATTGTGCAAACCCCTCAAACAGTCCCCTTGAAACCCTACGCGAACTGAGCCTTGTAAAGCGTCATCAGCGAGGCCACGAGGCCTGCAGAGCATGGGGCCATGGAGCGCTACGCCGCTACGCTCTTGGTTCCAACTGACCTGCAGAAAGTGTTGAAACGTGTTGCTACCTCGGATGGGCGAAATCCTGCACGGCTTCTGCACGGCTTTGAAACCATGGGAAACCATTGTTTGCTGGCATTAAAATTTCACGTAGGGGAGTCGAAACATTCCAGGTTGGCAACCAACAAATGCATTTTCCAAAAGCTTCAAAGGTTCAGCGGCAGGTGCTATTTTTGTTTGCAGCCGCCCCAAAGCCAAAGGCTCAAACTCCATTCGAGTAGCTTCCTTCTTCAGGCCACCTCTTTGTACGAGTAGCAGGAAAGCTCAACCCGGTTTCAGAGCAACCCGAAGAGCTACCAATTACTGAGAGACAAACGTGCAGTTCTGAGAGCTGGGCATATTTTGAATCAAGACTCTGGCCCCTTCACAAGGAAGCCAAAAGGAGGCCCTTTGAACCATAGTGAGTCATATCAAAACCTGGTACTAGACTGTTCTGCCCAAGACCATGTACAGAACTACAAGGGCGGCACCCATTTGTGGTTACTAACCTTAGTAACCTTCACTTACTAACCTTCACTAACCTTCACTAACCTTGTGCCTTACTAACCTTCACTTCCCCGGGTGTTCATTGTGGTACGCTAGTCGCCAAACTCCGGTTCTCCACCTAAGCTCGTTGCGAGCGAGGCGCAGCCGATGATGGGAATCAGCAGCAGCACCCACTGGATCATGTCCACGACCATGTTCATCTTGGCACTTGCTTGCTTCAACGTAGGGATCCTTACATTATACACCTGAACATTGCCTTATTTTGGTGGAAAAAGTGATGCTTCAAATGGTGGCAAAATGTATCTTTGGGACTACTCTATTGACATCTTCACCTCTTCTAAGCTTCTTACAGGGATCCTCCCGTCAGGGAAACTGCAGTTTCAGAAGAACAGCAGTTGAAAAGAACAGACAGGGAATCAACCCCATTCTAAGCAATGGCAATACCTCACGACTCCCCACATGAGAGCCATGTGACCGTTGTTCATATCACCTTCCTGAAACAAGGACATGGGCGAATCCGCAAACTGAGCTGTCAGTTGCACCCCATGATCCGCCCAAACAGAAAACATACTGTCAGTTGCTGACACGTACCTTCAAAACTCAATCCGTATGGTTTTCCAGAAAGCAGCTTGGCCCCTGTTTTCCGGGAAACCGGGAAACCCAAACCAACTTTCCCTGATGTTTGATCATTTGAGAAGGAGCAACGGTCAACCAAACACTTGGTGTGCCGTTTTTGCTGCTCACATGTGACCTTCTGGAGTCATTCCATGTCGCATTCCCTGCCTATCGAACCAGCAAGTTTGGCGCTTAGGATCCGGGTCCAGAAACTCGTGACTCGTGAGCCCTTTCCACACCCAAACCAACCGCTCCAAGAAGTTTGAGTTGACACGCTGCACGCCAAAAAGGTGCGAAACCCTGCATGTTCAACCCAACAAATCAATTGGTCAACAAGTCCCTCGGCAGTTATGTTTTGCTACAAGGTTGAATGCCTTGATCTCAACCACCTATATACCGTGGCCCCAACTGGGTTTGGGGGGTCCTACCTCGCTTTGCACCTAATTCCGCATATTGCTGACGCCCGGCCAATTTAATGTAGTCTTCTGTAAATGAAAGCAGTCGCTAAAACCCCGGACACACCCAAGAAAAACGATTGCTGAAAGCTTAGGACCCCCCCCCTGCATGAAAAAGGGAAACAAAAACGAAACCCTTGCCAGATTGCTGCTTTCCTGTGGAAATGTCCTGCATTTGCCAGGGTCCCTTTTAAGGATACACCTAAAATTCACCTGGTACTCGGTAAAGGTGGCTTTTAATCTGGCCACCATGTATCATTTAAGGGGCCCTATTTGGTTTCCTTGAGCGTTTGTTCAGCCAAAAGGCCTCGCTATGTCCTGAGATTTCAAAGCAGTGTCAAAGGGTCAACCCTGCCCCCAAGTTTGCGGAGTTTGGGGCGTGCATTTTTGGTGGGTGCTGTCCCTTTGAATCCCTTCCAAACCGCCAACGATTTGGATTTGGGCTGTGCACAGTCTGGCTGCTCCTGTGATTGTGTAGTTACTTTGTATGGAAAAAACACGTGTTCGCAGCCTTCCCAAACCACCTCAATCAATGCGCCCGTTTTGAACCCGCACACTTCTCATCCTTTCACCCCCATTTCGGGGGTCCTCAAACCCGCTTCGCGCCCTGGCGACCGAGGGACCGTCATGGACACCAGCGGCCCGAAGATGGAGCTCATGCGCAGCATGGACATGGTCTGAGAGATGCCCATGAAGAGCACTCCCACCTGAGTCATAATTCCTGAAAACCCGGTAGTCAAATGGTCGTAATCCCAGAACCATGCTTCAAGAATTAGGAAGCCGGAGAAATCCGCAGCGATGTTTGTGGCCAGGGGATTGTCCCTTAACCGGATCAATCCCCGAATCGGTGTTGAGCACGTGCCGTAGGGAGTTGGAGGCTTCAAAGATGGCTTCAAAGATGGCACAGGGCCTTCCTTTTGGCGTCCCTTTAACAGGGATCCGGATGCATTTTACACCTGAACATTGCAACTTGTAAATGGTCTAGTTTCCCTTTGTTTTGGTGTCGAAAAAGCAACATGCTTCAAATGGTTGCAAATGTATCGTTTAAGGAGCCCCGTTTAAAGCTGGCCGTTGAAGAAGGGAAAAGAAACCACACTCCCATATACCTGCACCCTCAAACTGCGAACACCCTGGGAAATCACCAGCCTTGTGCAACATATGATTTATAGGGGTCAAATATGATGGCACTTGAGCAACTGATGCTTTGCCCTTAGACTTACCGAAATATGTCTCATCAAGCCAAACAGTTAAGACGTTTCGGCCCTAAGGCTGACCCTGTTCCGGAGACGCGTTGGCCTGGTTAAAAGGCTGCCCAGTTCGGCATGTTCCGGAGGGCAAAGGCTTCGGGTGGCTTGTCTTTTTGGGGGTACCCTGGTTGGGCGGCGTTTAAGGAACCCAACGGTCCGATCCCTAAAAACAAGACCATGTTACACTTCCAGAGTCAAGTTCATGTTTGAAAGCGATGATCCGAACTCCCTGCTGGAATCATCTTGGAATTCGCTATGTGGTTGGTAAACCTTGAAGCCCGTGCACACTTAAACCGTTGTCAGATCTGTGTTGCTAACCTGCAGGTAGCTGAGTGGATCTTCCATGTCCGCGCGAAGAAACTCGCTATGTGGCGGTACGGAAATCCCAAGCCTGCAGTTTGTTTAATCCAAGGGACATTAAGTTCTAACAATATACAGGGCTTTGCACGGCAGTGGAACCGCTTCCCTTGTCTGGGCCCCTGCGAATCCACCCAGACATGTTGAGCCGACCGTTACAACAAATTCCCATCGGCCCTTTTGGACATTAAGCAAAACCAGACTGGCGAGCTGCTTTGGCGGGATACTGGCGGGATCCACTTGCGAATGCTGGTAAGCCGCTCCGGCCGATACTGGCCGGATACTCGGCAGGACCCACCGGCGAGGGATACTCGGCGGATCTACTGGCGAGCTACTCTGGGATACTCAGCGGGATACTCGGCGGGATCCACTGGCAGGCTGCTCTGGTGGGATACTCGGCGGAGCTACTCTGGCGGGATACTCGGCTGATGAGCTACTCTGGGATACTCAGCGGGCGGGATCCACTGGCGGGCTGCTCTGGCGGGATACTCGGCGGGATCCACTGGCTGGCGGGATACTCGGCGGAATCCACTGGCGAGCTACTCTGGGATACTCAGCGAGATACTCGGCGGGATCCACTGGCAGGCTGCTCTGGTGGGATACTCGGCGGAGCTACTCTGGCGGGAGACTCGGCTGATGAGCTACTCTGGGATACTCAGCGGGCGGGATCCACTGGCGGGCTGCTCTGGCGGGATACTCGGCGGGATCCACTGGCTGGCGGGATACTCGGCGGAATCCACTGGCGAGCTACTCTGGGATACTCAGCGAGATACTCGGCGGGATCCACTGGCAGGCTGCTCTGGTGGGATACTCGGCGGAGCTACTCTGGCGGGAGACTCGGCTGATGAGCTACTCTGGGATACTCAGCGGGCGGGATCCACTGGCGGGCTGCTCTGGCGGGATACTCGGCGGGATCCACTGGCTGGCGGGATACTCGGCGGAATCCACTGGCGAGCTACTCTGGGATACTCAGCGAGATACTCCTGCTCTGGCGGGATCCACTGGCGAGCCGCTCTGGCGGGATACTCGGCAGGATCCACTGGCCAGCTCCAACGGGAAAATTTATATGGCAGAGTAACTCCATGAGGCAGCTCAGACATTCAAACCACTTGTGCACGCCCACCCAATAGGCACAGTTAGCGCACGATTAAAGTTTTTCTGGAAATGTATGGGAAGTCCTGAATTGGGGTCTATGTGCTATCTCATTGTTGCTCACTATAGGAAGTCGTTTGTAGCCATTGCCGCCATGACCACTCAACCGGAAGTTGGAAAACAAAAGTCCATTCTTCTGTTGGCTTACCACAACCTGACTTTCCAAGAGCAAGTGAGACTATGCGCGGCTGTTCAACCCACTCAGCTAGCAGGTTTTGGCCAAGGTTAGAGGGGAGCTAACCCCAGTTGCTCCAATTACAAGCATGGTTGTATCAGGTTGAACATCCAAGTGGCTCTGACTCGGCCCAATTGCCGCCCTTTGCAGCCGCGGCACGGCCTTGAACTGTTGGGCGAACTCTGTCCGCTCCACATCAAAGAGCACCACAAGACAGCTCCAGACCACGCACCTGAGACCGGAAAAATGCCCGCAAACCAGCCAGAAGCCATGGGAATTTGCAGCGGTTCCCGTGTTCCCTACTTGCGATACGTAGGGACCGCAGCTTTTGCCCAAACCGCAGCTTTTTGTCTCAAAAGGGAACCCGAAGATGGAACACGAAGATTGGTGGTGCCCTTTATGGTTTTGCTTTACCGATCAAAGAATTCAGTCGGAAAAGGGAACCTTCGCCGGCGGGTTTCCCTTTAACGGCTTCGACATACCCCTTCCGCCTACGCCCTGTGCCTAGGTCTTCAGTTCTAGGAGTTGAAACCCATCTACCCCGCCACCTGATCCAAGTTCTTCGTGCTGTTTTGCGAACAACTCGAAAGGTGAGCCCTCAGTCAGCTCGATGCAATAGCTGCCCTCAGAGATGGCAACACTCTCAAGGATCGCGAGACAGAAAGCTAGCAATAGCCAGCTAAACAGAAGCTTCAACAACCCTTCCTCCAGCTCCGCGCCGGATGCTGACTTGCTTGCTGTCCTCTCCGTTCTCTGATCTGGGAGAATTGATTGTTTGATCCTGCCATAACTGTCGACATTTGATGCGCATGCCAACCTTGCAGGCAAGATGCGAGAAAGCGATCAACTCCATGATGTTGACCTGACAACGCTTGTCGCCCTGTGTGCATATTGCAACACGACAACAGCAAAGAATGATGTTAACCTGACATGGCAGCATCAAGACAAGCAGTCATTCGAAGGCTGAATTGACTTGAGTGTCGCTGTGCATTGCAGTGGCATTCAAACATGTATAAGCAAAAGTTGCTCCTTCAAAAGGGGTTTGTGGTCAGTTCATTCAAACCATGACCCCCCATGTTTTCAAGCGGGTTCCTGAAAGGAAACCTGAAATGATCAGCCTTACTCAAAGCTCAGCGCTAAGCAACTCTTTACGGCTCCAATACTTCCTGAGCGGATGGGCCAAAAAAAGAGGGGGGCAAACCGCTGTCGCTAAAATGGTCTTCCCAGAATTGCAAAGTCCAGAAAAACTCGGGGAACGAGATGACAAAGCGTTCAAAGTCTTGCACGGTTGAGGGCTCACGGGCTTGCTTGCCAAAGCCTGGAGAACCCTCTAATCCCATGTGTGGAGGATACAAACCAAACCTCCCCAGGGTTTTGTGGTAGATCCTCTGTCCATGTTCTCTCGAATGGATAAACCAAGCTGGGTATTCTGACCGCTCGCGCACACGGCGATTCCATTGCCAAAGCCTCTTTCTTTTTTTTTCGGACGAGTTTAGCGTATATCTCAGAGGAAAGCAGAACCACTGTTCTGGCTCCAATTTGCGGTAGGACCAAAGCGCAACCCTACGATCAACCACAACTCCCTCAAGGGCCATCAGCCAAATACGTGTATCTCCAAAAGAGGGCCTGTGCAAGCGCTTGGCTTCCTCAATTTGTGGTCCCCTAAAAACCACCCAACATTTTCAGGCACATAGGCGTCTTGCGGCCACAAAAACGGGTGAGTTCCTCTTTCAGTTCCCCGATGAGAACCACTGCCTTAGCCTTGGGCAGCCCTGGGCCTTGTTCATAGCCACATGCACGTCTGCATTCAACGAGGCACCAATGCGCTCTGCGCTTGGGCTCACACTTGCCTCTGTCGCGCCCCTTTAAAAATATCCGTGTTCTGATGAGGCAGCTCATTGTGTGAAAACCACCACAGTCAATCCCATTGATCTTCCACGCCCCTCTGGAAGAGCAAAAAAAAAACAGATTCATGCGCGCAGGCCCGCGACACTTTGGGGTTATCCAGTTTCACAGCTTGCAAACTCAGGACATGGCGAACCCACGGGACTTGTGCTTGCCGAGCTTGTTGTTACCTTTTCACTCAGCTCGAAGCCCAAGCCTGAACCCAAGCCCTAGACCTGAACCCCAATCACTTTAAACCTAAACCCCAAGACCCCTTGATCGAGGCTGAAGGGTTTCGGCGTTTAGGGTTTCGGCGTTTAGGAAGGTGTAGGTTTGGTTGAGGATCTTCAGAATTGAGTTTTCGTTTAACACAAAGCAAACAAACTGTATGAAGGATGTTTGGGATGTTTGTTTATTATTTTTGTTACGTTTCTCTTGTGTGCGTGTGTGTGTTTTTGTGTGCTTCTTTTGATGGCTTTTGGGCTTAGGTTCGGGGATTGGAGTTGTTGTTAAGGAGTTAACGGATTTTGGGGTTTAGGGTTTGCAGGGTTTAGGCAGAAGGCAGTGGGGGGCAATACTAGGCACTTCATCCTGTGCTTGGGAGGAATAGTGCGTGCACAACTACTGTGGACTGACAAAAACATGCGCCAGTGGGTAAGTTGCTTCTCCCCGTATTCAAAGGGGTTCATCCATCCCAAGTGGCGCGAAGTTGTGGTCTCCACTTGTGGTACCTTCGGAGAGCTTATTAGAAGTATCAATGAACAAATTAAATTGCACAAGCTGGAATGGATGGCCTATGAATACTGGGACAAATCATCAATCCCAGCCGGTATGAGAGCATCTTGTCCACTCACAATATCATTTTTAGTATTGCTAGCAGCATTATAGCTATTATCACAGCTATTACTCCCATAACTATCCAACTCAATGTACCGCGTGCTCTTGGCTCCGCGGCTCCGCGGCTCGGCTCCGAGGCTCCGGCACGGTCCATGAACCAAAAGTTGAACTCTGGGGAAAAGACCGGAGACAGCCTTGGCTCACTTTCACTTCGTTCAGACGATGCTTCGGGCGCCCGGTGGATGGAAAACATCCACAAATCGCACAAGTTTTGGGATTGGTGGTTCACCCCGATTCATAGGATTTATATCCCAACCCCCGAAGTTCTTTCCATCCGCTGCATTTCCTCTTTGAACGTCTCCGCAACCCTCGAGTTTTGCCAAACAAATCGAGCACAAAGGTGGGACGGTGTCCAACCCTGAACCAACCCGAAGAAACCTCCTCTGGCCCCTGGTGAAGGGGCAGGGAGTGGCAGCCGCTTCTGTGGCCCCGGAAGACCGTCCCAATGACTAACTGATAACTTAAAGAAGAAGTGCGAAACGTCCCTCATCCCCAGAACTCCGAGTAAGTAGTAAGTAGGTTAGAACCTAAAACCATGGGTTTGTCTTTCGACATGTGCCGCTTTTGAGGTTCGATGTTCAACCCTCTCGAGATTAGAACCCTGCTAACGCGACTAACCCCAGTTGCCACAATCAAACATCGATTGTATAAGTAACAAGTTTTGCTCGTGCTGGGCGGGAGGGTGGGGGATTGCCCCAAATTTGCGGGGATGGAAGCGCTCGCCCCAAAACCGGCCCTAGGGAAATTCAGGAGGGGCAGTTCTCAAAATCATGAGTAGATGTGTGAGGGACACATGTCCGTGTAGTCTATTTGGGCTATGATATTTACTTGGGGGCATCGCTCTGGATATCTATGCTCTTGGTTTGGCTCCAGACACCGCGACGATCCGGCCCAGCAGCTGTCGGAGCGTCGTGTCTTTTACATTTGACACTCCCAGCAGTTGGATGACTTCCGTACACCAGGCGCCGCTACCTCGGCGAGCGCCGTGTGCTGAAGAGCACGCATGAGTTGTAGCCCGCATGATAGAATGTGGCGGGCGCGGCTCAGAATACCTTCTGGGACATCACTACAAACGGGCCAAACACCTTCGCTTTTGTTTGCCTGGGGAACTAATTTTTGGGGATGACTACGCGAAAATGATTGCGGAAATCCAACTGTAAATCAAGTTCCCGTAAAACCTTGGACCACCTTTTGAGTATGGGTCTGTCTGAAACTTGGGCTGGAAGGGGCTGACCCAACTCCATGTAAAGAGTCAACAGGGCGGCAGCTATTTCCTGCGGTTCTTCCCTACTGGCTTTCACCCCAGGTGCTGATTATGGCTCAACTGGACTCATCCAGAAATGATTCCCGAAAACTGGACGAAGCAGGTTCGCAATTTGGCACTTGAGATACAGAAACTGGCAAAATCTTGGTTTTCCTTTTGGCCTTAAGCCAAGCTCAAAAGGGGACTGAGCATATCGAGCCACAAAATCACAAAACCCCATGTTGAAACCGGGCCACACTGTGAACTTCCTTTGGTTGCCCTTCAAACCCCCAAGACCACCATCCAAATCTCACCAATCCGGGGCGCTCTCAAAAGCACAAGAAACAACCTCCTTTGGGGTTCTCCTGCTTTGAGACAACACACACAAGGTATGGCGGCGCGGCCGTCCAGTGAGTGCGTCTGTGTGTGTGTGTGTGCGTGTGAATGTTTGTGCGTGTATGTGTGTGTATGTGTGTGTGTGTGCCCGTGCGTGTGCGTGTGCGTGCGGGTGCGCGGGTGCGCACGCGCGCGC